CAGGCTGGACTCAAATTCCTGGTCCAAGTAATCCTCTTGCCTCAGCAGACTGAGTAGGTAGACAAGTGCACCGCAGGCCCAGCTTAGTGAGTACTCTAGCTTCTGTCCTCTGTGCATAGAACTTCAGAGATCCCTTGAGGCATGGCAGTGTGCCTTTGTCAGCTCTCTTGTCATCTCCTGGACACCAGGATGCACTTAAAGAGGTCAGCCCCGTCCTAACTCTGCCCACTAACTCACAACCAGCTAGGCCAGCAGGTGAAACACAGCTCTCCGTCCCTCAGAATTCTGTAAGAACCTGCTAGATGCCAGCCCAGGCAGCACAGAGTGCTGGCGAGTCAAATCCCAATCTGCTCTCAGAGCCCCAATTCTAGCAAATGACAAGTGACACAACATACAAGGGGCATCAGGAAATGGGAAAGTATGAGGGGTAAGGGTTAGGGACATGCCATAGAGAGGTAGGTTGGGGGGACTCACAAATGAAGTGACATTTGAACTGGGACAAGCAACAAGGAGTCTGACATACCACAGAAGCAGTAGCAGGTGCAAAGACCTTGGGGAAAGCAACTGCTGACCTACTTAAGTAGTAGAAAAGTCAGCAGCATGACTGAAGGCCAGAAACATAGGAAAGTAGTCACTGAGGAGGCTCCAAGGAAGACAGGGCCTGGATACTGAGCCTGGAACAAGGAGGGTGAATTAGTCCAAATACAATAATATACTGGAGAGTCAGGTATGGTGGTGCATACCTATAATCCCAGCACCTGGGAGGTAGCCAGGTGGATCTCTGTGAGTTCTAGACTAGCCTAGTCTACTTAGTGATTTCCAGAACAGTTAGGGCTAGAAAGACTCTATACCAATAACCAAACCAAACAAAAAAGGACTGAGAAGCTAGAAGGAAGGGCTGATATGACCTGATGAACCCCTGAAAACAGGGACAGTGAATAACCCCAACCACTGTTCAGACAGCAGTGTCCAAATGGTGGAATTCCAAAGGCATTGTCAGGATCTGGCCTGTAGCTGGTTCAGGAAGGCAAGGGCAGACTGATATATGGGCCCTAAGAACAGCTGAGAGTTGGCTTCCAGCAGCAGCCCTGCACACTTTACCTGGCCGGCTTGCTTCCTCAACTAAAAACCAATGTGATGTCTCTAGTCCACAGGATACTGCCCAGCTACAAAGTCCTCCTGGCCACAGGGATGGGCCAGAACAGGCACTCCAAACAGGAGCATACTTCCTTTCAACAGGAAAACCTCCATCTTCCAGGTTCCCAAAAAGGAAGATAGGGATCTAATCTCCCTAAGGAATAGTGGTCTCACCAGTCCAGTGAGGTCAGGCCACATTTTAACACCAGAAAGCAGTTTTCTCAAGATATGAGCAAGAAGAGCAACAACAAGACAGGTAATGGTGGCACACACTTTTAATAGCATCACTTGGGAATTCACTCTGTGAATTCAAGGTTACAAAGCTAATTCCAGGGCAGTCAAGGTTATATAAAGAAACTAATGTAGAATTCTCCTCTGTATGCTGTGAATACTATTGGTTAATGAATAAAGCTGCTTTGGGCCTATAACAGCACAGAATAGGGCAAGGCAAGAATGCCAAGCAGAAAGAGGAAAGAGCAAGTAGAGTCAGGGAGAAGCCATGTAGGTAGCCGCCAGAGGTAGGCAGCCGCCAGAGGTGGGCAGCCACCAGAGGTAGGCAGCCACCAGAGGAGAAAGACGCGAGCCACAAGTGAGAACCTTGCCGGTAAGCCATGACCCTCATGGTAAAGTATAAAATAATAGAAATGGGTTAATTTAAGATGTAAGAGCTAGCTAGAAATAGTACTGCAATCAATATAGTACTGCCAAATAGTACTGCAATCAATATAGTTTCTATGTGATTATTTCGGGTCTGGGCAGCCAGGGAATAAACAGTCTCCACCTACGAGAAAACCAGTCTCAAAAACAAAACAAACAAAAGGACAAACAACAGCCAAGAAGAGAACAAATTCCCTTGTATGGTTATATAGTCTCAATCAGAACACTAAGCACTCGGACGGTAGCCATTTGATCGTATATACTGGGCTAATACTGAAACGGTAGCCATTTGATCATATATACTGGGCTAATACTGAAATGGTAACCATTTGATCATATATACTGGGCTAATACTGAAACGGTAGCCATTTGATCGTATATACTGGAATAATACTGAAACGGTAGCCATTTGATTGTATATACTGGGCTAATACTGAAACGGTAGCCATTTGATCATATATACTGGAATAATACTGAAACGGTAGCCATTTGATCACGTATACTGGGCTAATACTGAAACGGTAGCCATTTGATAGTATATAGTGGGCTAATACTGAAACTGTTTTGTCACCAAAGAGGCTCTATTGAATGTACACATTGGAAGGGGTGGGCAGGAATTGAGGAAACTGGTGTCAAGGAAAGGTCCCAGCTTGGGAGACAGGCAGGCCTTGACAGTCCAGCTTACTATCTGCATTCCTAAGTCCCAACTTCATTAGTGGCTACGTGATAAACATGCTTCCTGCAAAGTTTGTCCAAGAAGAGTAAGTATTTGAAAAGAGCCATGTCAGAAAATAATTGCATGGCTAGCATTATCCAGTAGTGATGCAAGACCCAGAACTAGGTTCAAAGGCCACACAGCTAGAAAGGAAAAAAGCAGCAAATCCAGTTCTGCACACCTCCAAAAGAATGCCTGTCCTTTTGCCCGGCCTATATTTCAGATGTTTCTCCCCTTACAACCAAGCTACATCCAATACAGTTCCAGTATGTTAAAAGCATAGTAAGTTAAGAAATGCACACACAGACACTCTGGCCTGCCACCTTAGCAGCCAGTGTATGGTAAACAGTGGTTTGCCCTCTGGACCTTAAGGCTGACTAGGAGCTGGAGTTGTTGCTTTGTTCAGTGTCCTGACCACCAACCAAGTCACAAACTAGGAAAGGTCAAAATTTTATTGAACTTGTACCATTTGTACACCATCATAAAGATGAAAAATCATGAAGTTATTACAAGGCAGATTCTGTATTTACCAGAAAAGACTTAATCTTTCCTTTTTTGTTGGTAACACTGAGGATAGAACCGAGAGATTCCTCCACACTAGGCAGACACTCCACCACTGAGACACGGGCCACCCACCTACTAGTCTTTACCCCGTGTGCTCCACCTCCAACTTACAGTTTAGAGGACATTTTCTAAAACGTTTTTGAATATGACCAGTCAGAATAGAGCTGGAGATGTTAGTTTTGTTTGTTTCTTTACTGTGTGGTCTTTAATGAGTGGATTATGGGTTGAACAGACAGTGTAAGAGAGTGACCCTGGACAGGTAAGCCTCCTTTTCCACTTGAGTGAAACAGGGAAGCGGTCTCAGACTGCCTGCAGCACAGAGAAAAGGAGGCCACAAAGATCAAAGCACTTAACCAATTACCACAACTGGGACCTGGAATGCCCAGGGACTAATGAACCATCTGCCCCGTATATATTCAGGCATATGCTTAGAGAAAACTGCTGGAAAGAAACCCACGGGCAAGGGGGCAGGCAGGAAATGGGTCACTGGGGTTACAGCAGGTAACCTCAGCCATATATGTGTGTGTATGTGTGTGTGTGTGTGTGTGTTGGGTACTTATGAAAACAGGCTATGGGGTCCTGTCTCTAGACCTAAGTGAAGTTAAACAAGTGTGCAAAAGGAATTTTAAGACATAAGAATAGTTTCATGTGCACAAATGGAAAGGGTCCAGAGTTGAGCAAAGAGGGGTAGTGAGGAGAGATTTTGTATAAAGCCCTATTCCTAAGTAGCCTGTATTTAAAGACTAGTTAAGCGGTACAAATCCTAGGGGTAGATTTTAGCAGTACACTTCACAACGGAAAACACACAGGTCCTTTGCCTTAGACAGTTCAGACCCAACTTACTCTGCTACACTAGGGCACCTCCCAAAGCCTTCTGGATAGAATAGTCACTACTGCATGGCTAGCCAGCCCTCGAAAAACCACAAAAGTCTATCAAGAAAATGCTGGGGGGCTGGAGAGATGGCTCAGTGGTTAAGAGCATTGCCTGCTCTTCCAAAGGTCCGGAGTTCAATTCCCAGCAACCACATGGTGGCTCACAACCATCTGTAATGAGGTCTGGTGCCCTCTTCTGGCCTGCAGACATACATACAGACAGACTATTGTATACATAATAAATAAATAAATATTTTTTTAAAAAAGAAAGAAAATGCTGGTGTAAGTGTACACAATGGAACTTTGTGTGAGTTTTAAAACTGAGTGATGGAACTTTATGTTTCGATACGGAGCAGTCTCCAGACAGTGCTGATTTGTATATAAAAAGGGAGAGATGAGGTCTTGAGAAAGAGCCCAGGGACAGGGCACTTGCCTCTTATGATCTGGGCACTAGGTTTGCACTCTCCGGCCCCTCCCCGAAGTACTACAACAGGAAAAGAAAAGCAGGGATCTTTTCAAATCCGCTATTTGCCACTGGGCGACGGTGGAGCACGCCTTTAATCCCAGCACTCAGGAGGCAGAGCCAGGCGGATTTTTGTGAGTTCGAGACCAGCCTGGTCTACCGAGCTAGTTCCAGGACAGGCTCCAAAGCCACAGAGAAACCCTGTCTCAAAAAATAAAAAATAAAAAAAAAATCAAATCCGCGATTTGCCGGCATTTCTGTGTTTCTGTGTACTTTTCCTGAAACCATCCATCCATAGAATGCTGGGAACAATGTCAGGGACAGAGAATGGGGAGACCAAACGTCAGGTGAATAGTGACTTTTTTTTGAAACTTTTGCGTACACACTTTTTGCAGGGTTTGTTTCCTTGATTGTTTTTCTAGGAAAGCATCTCGCTGCACGGCAGTGAAGGCGGGAACGGCGTTCGCGTCGGTGGGCTGTGAGTTCGAGCCCCCAAGCCTCCCGGGCGGGCGGCCAGGCCTAGGCAGTCAGGCCAGTCCCTTCCCGCGAGCTCGGACCCCGAGCCCGGCTCCCGCCCCGGCCCGCGCTCACCGCCTATGATGGTCCGGATGAGGGAGGCGTGCCCGGGGCAGTCGACCAGTGTGACCTGCAGCTGCGTGTCGTCGGTCCCGGGTTCAGCTCCCGGCAACGGCACGACGAAACAGGAGAAGCCCAGGTCGAGCGTTATGCCACGCTCGCGGCTCTGCGGCTGCTTGTCGAAGGCGGCGGTGGAGGCTGTGGTGCTCAGCGCGCGCGCCAGCGCTGTCTTGCCGCTGTCTATGTGGCCCAGCACGCCCACATTCACATTCACCCGCCGGCCCGCCATGCCGCCGCCGCCTCGCACGCCGCCGCTTGAGCGCCGGCTAGACGGTCCGCCCGCTAAGCCGCACCCCCCCGCAACTCGCGCCCAGCGCGCCGGTTCCGGCACGGAAGCTTCCGCCCTCGGGCGACCGCAACGCTACCTCGGGACCCAGAGAATGTCGGCTACAAGCAAGGTGGGACTAACTGCCTACCTAGGGTTGCTGTCACCGGGCTCCCCCAACGAAGTGTCGCCAGCCGATGAGTGGAGATTCCTCCTTCCATGTATTCACCCTTCTATTCATCCACTCACCCACCCATCCGTCGTCCATCCATCCTTTCTTCCATCATTCCACCCACCCATCCATCCATGCCCCCTTCTATCCTCCCATCCATCCCTCCAAATACATTCCTTCGTTCATCATCCATTTCTGCCAGCCTTTATTAAGTGCAGACTGTATACATAGCACTGGGATGTGGTGACCCACATATTTGCTGTGCTGTGAAAGCAGGAGTGTGCCTAAGCTGGACTATCTGGAAAGAATAGAGATGGGGAGGTGAGCACCCTGGTAAGGCTCAGGTAAGACCCCGTCAAGCTCTGCCACTAGAATTCCAGTGCAGCTTGAGAAGTTCCCTTTGAAAACCTAGAAGCACTGTGAAAACCTGGGAGAGGACCTCACTGACTCAGAGGAAAAAAAAACTCAACTTGGCGTCTAGGCTTCCGTGGCAGGCTGCAATTTAAAATTTCGTTTGAAATGTGTTGTGAATGTTCTGTCAGCGCAACTCCTTTCAGGTTTTGAAAGGTGCCTAGAACCATGAAAGAGGTCACAAACCTAAGAGGTTGCTCTGGCAAAGACTAAAACCCAAGGAAAAGAAGGTACCTGGGGCTTCACAAGGGAGAGAGATGAGGACTCCAGATCTGCTACTAGCTACTCCGGCGTGAAGAGGAAGGGGCTCTTGGTTTCAGCTACTGACACCAAGAGGATGCTGGCCCTGCTTTCTCATCCTTCCATTTTTCTAGGGTTTTGAGTGTTTGGCATTTGAAAGTGAATTGTCCTCTGTTTTTGTTAAAGTTTATTGCTGTGAAGAAACACTGTGACCATAACAACTCTTCTAAAGGAAAAACATTTAATTGGGGGTGGCTTCTATTTTCAGAGGTGTAGTCCATTATCACCATGATGCTGGAGCTCAGAGTCCTTCATCTTGATACGCAGGCAATAGGAAGTGGTCTGAACCAGTGGGTATGGCTTGAGCTTGTATGGAATCTCAAGCCTGACTTGACAGTGACACACTTCCTCCCACAAGGCCACACCTACTCCAACAAAGCCACACTCCCAATAGCACCTTACTCTGTGGGGGCCATTCTCTTTCAAACCACCACAACCTCACAGGTTTATTTGTTGGATGTTCATGCCCCCAGACGGTGGGCTTTTTTGTAAGATGAAGCTTAGCTGAAGGAAGTAGGTTACCAGGAGAGTGCCTCTGATGGTTGTATCTTTGAAGGCTATATCTAGTAGTCCCTGGTCCCTTCCCCATTCTCTGCTTCCAGTCCACCAGGAAGTAAGTAGTTCAGTCAGACTGTTACTTGCTCATGAAATATGATGAGAAACTACTGTGCCACCACAGGTTCAGGGTTTCAAGCCCAAATGACGGTGTACTGAAATCTCTGAAGCCATGAACTAAAACTAAAATTTAAGTTCCTTGTATAAGCATTTCATCACAATGATGAAATATTGTCTAACACAAAGCCTGACTTTGAAATGCTGACAAATATTTCAGCTTTTGTTGCTAAAATTCCTTTTTGTGGGTGTAATGATCTGTTCTTTCTCTTTAAGAGAGAAGTCACCCTCACTCCTCCCTCCCCCCTTCTGCTGAGACAGGCTGATCTTCAGCTTCCTACCTGAGTTCCCTCTTTTCCATCTCCCTCTCGAAGAGGCAGCTTCTGCCTCTCCCCACTTCTCCCCTTCTGTCCCTTCCTTGCTCTCTCTCTCTCTCTCTCTCTCTCTCTCTCTCCTCTTCTCCCCTTCTCCTTTCCCCCTCCATAACCCACTGAATAAAATATCCAACCTCACTCTGCATGGCGTGCCTATCCATGTCTCTGTCTCTTGCCTGCTGCCATGTGTCTCCCTGCCCTGGACCAGCCACTGCTCCTACAACCATCGGGGATCCTGCAGCATTTTTAATAATCCATTACAGTGGGCAGATGTGAATGACATCTACCTTCCTAAGGTTCCAAGGACAAACCAAAGGGCAGTTCTACCTTGGCTCGTCCTAGGGATGAGTTTACTTGGCTTACTGGTGAATATGGGTGAGGGGTCACTGTTAGAAGTGTTGGTGACCTCAGAGCAGCTGCACTGGAAGGTCTTCCCAGATCATGGACAATGGCTTCCCCTCAGCTTCACAGATGAAGCCTCTTTCCCCTAGTCTACACCAGCCATTTATCTAGTCCCTCCCTGAGGTCCTGAAGCCACGGGCAATAAGGGCTGACCTAAATATACATGGCTTGGAGGAGTGGCCAGATACCCTGGTGAAGGTCCAGTGACCCTCCTAGAGGCCTTCCTAGGAGAGAATATGTCATCAGGCCACAGACCTGATCATGACGAACTCTTGGGAGGCAAGCACAGCTGGTTTCATGAAGATGGTGGCAGTTTTACTCAGATAGTGGCCAAGCTTAAAGTTCAGCCAGTTTGCCTCTGTGATGGGCCAGGCCATATATGCGTTTGCAGAAAGAGGCTCCAAGGACTCCTAGGCTCAAGACTCCATCCTAGAGTCCCTGCTGTGAACCGAATTGTGTTTGCCACAGGTTTGTGTGCTGGATCTTTGGCACTCCCCGTGCCTGTGATGGCATTTGGAGACAAGTCATTAGGACTAAGTGGGTCATGGGAGTGGGGTCCTCATATGGATTAGTGCCCTTAGAAAAATGACCCCTAAATTTTGTGTCTCCATTTTGCAAACAGGAAACAGTAAGTCTGTTTGAAATATAAAAGTGTTGTTTTAAAATCAAACTCTGTTTATTTGAAACCCAGTGATAAAACAGTGGGCATCTTTAGGAGGGAGCTTAGCAGGCAGGTGACAAGAGTTTTAGAGGACATTCCAACTAACAAAATGTCTTGAACAGGATCTGACTTCAAGTAAGCTCACTGTTCACCTCTGCCCTACATAAAATCCTGGCAAACAGTAAGAATCAAGCATCTCTACTCCATAAATTCAAACTACAGCCAAATCTGAAGCTTTCTGAGCACTGACATGATGCAGCAAGTGGAAAATTCCACACCTGACTTCATGTGACAGGCAAGAGTCAAAACATGAGAACCTGGAAGCTGGCACATAAAAGTACCCCTAGGCTCCGTACACACGGGCTGTGTGGAACAAGGACTTTCATGTCCAGACTTGGGTCCCACCTCCAAGTTACCATATTGTGTGTATGCAAGCATTCTAAAATGGGAAGAAAAACCCTGAAATCTTCAATACATCCCATCCCAGGCATTTCAGAGGAGCTGTATTAAACCTGCAATGAAAGGAGCTGAGCCTGATAGCACATGCCCATAACCCCCACACCCAAGAGGCAGAAGCCAGTTTGAGCTATCTATCTACCTTGTCTCAATGAAACAAGAGCTAGGGGTGTCATCAGTGGCAGAGTGCTCACCCAGTACACACAGAGAACCCTGGGCTCCATCTCCAACCCTGAAAAAACAACAATAACAAAATTAATGTTTTAAAGCTTTAATGTAATATTGACATCAGACTCAATAGTGAACTTCATGTGTTGAATATTTAAAATATTCTTAGCTATAGTTTATTATATTTGTTTGACTAATTTGCCTGCATGTGTATCTGCATCATGTACATTCGTGGTGCCCACAGAATTCAGAAGAAGGCATCGGTTTCCCAGGAACAGAAGTTACGGGTGGTTGTGAGCTACCATGTAGGTGTTAGCACCAAAGGCAGATCCTTTGCAAGAGCTCTTACTCACTGAGCCATCTTGCCCCCTCAAGGGTTGACTTTGGAACAACTCTGGGCCTCAAGGGAGAGAGTTTCTTCTTGCAGCAGGACAGGCAGAAGAGAGAGGGACAGCCACTGTATTTATAAGGTATTTATAAGAGGTGGGTTCACAGCTCACCCAAATGGAACAGTGCTCACAGGCATGACTGAGACAGGGTAGAGCTAAACGGGGTAGCAGGAAGTTTTAAGGATGGAATTTGAGGGAAGATTTTAAAGTTACTGCCCCAGAGGCAAACCATCTTTGGTGGAAAAAGCTTAGACAGTGCTAAGGGTGCCTCTGCGGGTAGGGGTGGACCGGAAATGAACTAGAAGGAGACTTGAAAGCATTTTCTGAGCTGATTACAGTATTCTGAGCCTTGATAAAGCTTTACACACACACACACACACACACACAGAGAGAGAGAGAGAGAGAGAGAGAGAGAGAGAGAGAGAGAGAGAGAGAGAGAGAGGGGAGAGAGGAGAGAGAACATGCAATTAGTATATACTTTAGATCTGTGCACTTTATGGAAATTCTGCATCCCTCCCCCAAACCCCTAAAAAGCACCATTGAGCTCCAAGAGTGGCATGTGTGCCTGAGTACTGAAGAGGAAGGATGCGACTTCTGTCACCTGCTTTAAAATGCGTCAGAGATGCCTAGGTTACACTGGGTGAGCCAGGGACCTTGGAAGCTAAGGAAGAGGATGTCTTTGAATCCAGGAGTTCAAAGCCGACATGGACAAGATTGTCAAATTCCATCTCAAAACAAAGCACAACACAAGTAACAACACAGACTGGGGCTGAGCTCATGGTAAAGTGTTTCTCTAGACAGAGGGGCCGGGCAGATGTGTAAGTGATAAAGTATGTGAGTAAAATGGGATTGGTAAAGTTCAGGTAATGGGTGAATGAGGTAATCGTGTCAACTGTGTGGGATCTAGAATCGCCTAAGAGATGCACCTCTGCTTGTGTCTGTGAGGGGGTTTTGAGATGGTTTAACTGTGGGTTGTATTGTTTCATGGCCTGACTAAAGGACAGAAAGCAAGGGACGCAGAAGCAATCACCTCTCAGCCTCCTGCCTGTGACACAATGTAGCCCAC